CTGTCAGAACATTTTAGGTTAGAGGTATTGCAATTTTAAAGCTTCAAGAAAGTGATTTGTGAAGCAAATTAATGTAAAATGATTTGAATTATTATGCCTAACATATTTGATCTAATTTGTTTTATAACAATCAATTTAATATATTGTTTATTTTTAGGCATTGCAAAGTAGATTATAAAAAAAATTTGAATAGATTAAGGCATATTAACAATGAACATTCTAGACGAAGTACAAACAAAGATGATGAATCAATTTTCTATATTAGCAGATATTAGTCAGATTCTAGGAAAGATATATTATGGTAAAGTTTTTCGAATTTTACTGCTTATAAGTGGAGAATCTTTTTTACAATTTATACAACTATTTTGCTTTAGAATCATTTGGGAAATGAAGATTAAAAATTCTTACATATTTCATAAGAGTTTGTCATCTTTTTATTAATAGAATTATTGAAATTAATGTAATAAAAGAAGTTCATCAAAAATTAGTTAAAATAATAAAATTAATAGAAAGCAAATATAGTAGAGATAAAATAATACTGAATCTTCATTTGTCACTTTATTTAAGTAAGTATTTATTTGATTATCATCCTTTATACACTTTCTAAAATCTCAAAAAAGGGTAAATAAAACTAAGAAAATTATTCAAGAAATTACGGATGAGGATTCACAATAATGTCAAAGAATTATTCTCAATATAAAACACATAAGATAAACACAAAATAAATACAAGATAACTCAAAAATATTTCAAAGATTACACTTCAGAGACTCCAAGTCAATACAGCAAATTAATACAATATCATATAATAAATTCACTAACAATAGTTAAAGAGATTACATGAATGCAATAGAGTACAAATTATTTATAACAGTTTCAAGGATTTGCAAAGGATAAGTTTTATCCTTAGTTAATTATACTTCTTTATTAATATAATATAAGTTTAGTACCTAAAAGTTTAATATCTTATCAGTGATGAGACTCAAAGAAAATACAGAGATATTTATATATGTTAAATAAATAATAAAATAAACTAAACTAAATATATCGAAGAAAATAAAGTTACCATTTCGCTAGGCAATAAAGTTGCTATATCAATAAAATTTCCAGATCTACAGGTAACTAAATAGACATCTATAATCTACGTGATTATTAAGAGCAATAAAATTGACATCTAAGGATTTGTATAATTGATCAATGGCAATAAAATAGACAAAATGATCTTTATAAAACATCTATATAACAATAAAATTGACTTTATATTCTACCTATTAAATCTATCTAAAATTTTATCCATCATAGTATGAACAGTATATTAGATATATCGAATTGATATATTTTTATGTCTTTTATTTTTTCATTTACTAATTTTGTTAAATTCATATTTCTCAGATTCTTTACCTAATAGCTATTAATATATCAAGCCAGAGCTCATGTGTAGAATGATGCTTGATGTACAAATTCTAGCCAAAAGTTCTGAAATAAAAGGTATTGAATTACTCAAAACTCATCAAAATGTTGAATCTTTATCTGCAACAGACAAATTTTCTTCTAATGAAATGTATCAATTCTACTCAATTATAAAGATGTTTAGAACTTGTTATTATTAGAAGTGAAAATTTTTCAGGTAAAATTTTAAGATCTTCATCTAAGAATATTTTAATGACAGCTAGAATACTTGACTAAATAGTTGAATATTACACAGAAACTTATGAAATGTACTATTTTTGAAAAGTATTTAGAGAAGAAGTTGATGATTTAATAATTATTCGTGTTATAATGAAACAATATGGAAGATGCAGTATTAGCTCTAAGATATTCAGCTTAGTAATATCATCTTAACACATTACGAGTTCTTACATCTTAGTCAAATTTATAACAAATAATGCTGATAAAGTTAACTGTTTGTTATCTAAATCAAATACAATATTTTTTCAAACATATAATTGATTTATCTAATAGGGCTTTTGAGCATAATTTAGCATATTTTCAATAGTATAAGCCAGTAAATTCTTAATATTATTTAAATATTAATGATATTTAATAGATATGTAATGTTGAACTTTGATCCAAATATTTTTTTCCTAAAGTCAGGATTGCATAATACCAGTTTATCATATTTTAAAAAGATTCATTTTTATAAAATACAAAATTTCAATTCATTAAAATGCTATTAAATATTTAGTAGTCAACCTAATTAATAGAAAGTACCATATTTAATAAAATTCATAATTTGTACAAAGAAAAAAAAACATTTATTTTCTGTTTATTCCCATATATTATATTTTTACATTTATTGTATTTTTACATATTTTTATATTTATTAACAATTTCTTATTATTTAAATTTAAATAAATATTAAAGCTAAACTTCAGCTATTAATTAAATATTTTATAATTTTGCCAAATGTTAATGTTAATCGAAATTTCATAAAAGATTACAATTTGACGATTAATCAAGTATTTCAAAATTTTATCAAATGTTGATATTAATCAAAAATTATTTGAAATTTGATTAGAATCAGCCAAAATTTAGCCAAGCTATCACATAACTGAAACTTTCTATATGACTAGTATATAATATAAATAAAATACTAAGGGATTAGTATTTCTAATTCAATTAGTAATAATTAAGCATTTATTGTAAATTACACTATAATAGCTATAGTTTGAGTCTCAACTAAAGTATATAACTATATAATTTCTATAAAATTTTATTATAACTATATATGTAAGCATATAAACTAGTATATATTAGTAACTAGTTAATCAATCAATCTATTAATTGATATTGATTATGCCTAAATTTTGAATTTGAAAAATATATAGATGTAAATAAAGCTAAAGATTAATAGAAACTAAGTTTTTACTAATAGGCTTATAATAGATATTATTTTACATTTTCAAACTCAACAATTTTATATAAGAAAAAAGTGATTAATTAGTAATTAGTAGATTTGAAGTTTCTTAGATATAATAAATTATATTGTTTGCTATAGATCTAAACTAATTCATATTTTTAGCAAGATAAAGATCAGGTTCAATTTTTAGGTAATTTTAAAGCTATTAATAATAAGCCATTATCTTTGTAAAATTTCTGATCTTATAATTTTAGTAGTTATCAATAAGGTAAAACCCTATAATTAGATTAATAAAACTATGATTATCAGTTACTATGATTGAAGTGATTTCTCTATCAAATTTTAGCAACTAAGTTTAATAGGAGTTTAGTTAAGTAAATCTTGAGGTCAAATTTAAGTAAAATGAACTGTATACTAAGTAACAAATAACAATCTTTAGGCAAATAAAATAGTATAATTACACAAATTTTTAGTAGTAAATGAGATCTCAGAAGTATTACTAATCAGATATAAAATATATTAGTAAAATCTTTTATAGTGTCTTTAAAATAAATATATCTCAAAAAATATATATATTAATAAATGTTTTATCAATATATAAGCAAAAAGGAAAATTTAAATTTTGTCAAAATTTTTTATTAATTTATTTGACTATTTACAGTTATATTTATAAAATTAATTTAAAAATGAAATTATATAAAATTCAGATTTTTTCTTTTTTACTAACATTTTTTATATGATTTATTATAATTTAAAATTTAAAAGATTATCCTTATTTTTAACATATAAAGTAAAATAAACTGATTACAAGATAAAATAGATACATTTTTATATTTTAATATATAACTAGTATAATTATAAGCATTTTATAATATTATATAATACATAAATAATTACTAAAATTGTAAAATTAAAGACAATTTCTTCTACAATTAGTTTTTGGCCTTTTTGATTAATAGATTATTAGACAGTCCATTCTAATTTCACTAAAATTTAGACTATTAAACTATAAATTTTGTCTAATAGAAATAAATTTTATATAAAATTTTACAATATATTTATAAATATAATAAATATAAAATTTATATGTAAATCATTTTATTGATATTTCTTAGAATTTTTAGTTAAATTTACTAACTATTACAAATATTTAATTAAATAATAGAAAAGATCAATTAGATATAGAAACTCTTGAATTAAAGAATAAATCATGCACTTATTATAATAGTAATGCTAAAATAGAACTTTATTATATATAACAGAAAAACCAGTAATTGAATTATTATGGAAGCAATAATTAATGAAAGAATTACGTAGTTTAAAAATTTACTTTGAATTCTTGAATTATATTTATTGTATTTTGACCGCCAAAAGGTCTTGATCGATCAAACAATTTATTTGCATTTCGAATATAAATTGAAACTCTTTACATCTATTTTTTAATAATTTATATCGACAATAAGCACGTCCATAGTTTTAATATAAAAATGCTTCAATATCCTTTAGGCCCATTGTGGCTCTTGTGGTTTTTTTTGTTGAGGATGATATATTATTATTTTTTTAGTTGGAAAAATTCAACCTATTTGGGAAATTCACTGAATTCAAAGTAAAAAAAAAAATACTTTGAAAAGAAAGTCAAATATTATAAAAATTTATGCAAGTCATCGATCAACATGATAAATTTGATCGAAGTTAACAATTTTTAGTCGAAACTAAAAATTTTGTGATCAATTAATTGACCATTACCTTTATTTGTAATGCAAAAAAAAAAAAATTTAATAATGTAGTATTTCATGTGCAATTAAATAATATGGCTTCATCAAGAATTTATTCTTTTTATTTTTATTTTTTTTTTTATTTTCTGTTGCTTCAAGCCGGTAGTGTGTTGACGAATTTTACGGGCACTTTAATTATGGAATATCTTCAAATTTTTGTATTACATTATTAGATTAAAGGTTTAATATTTTTTTTTGTGTTTAATTAGAAGCAAACTTTTGCAAATGTGATTTTTTCCTTGATTGAACGTCTGAATACAAGCAAGGTCCACTTCAAAGACATCTAAATCATCTACAACTATTCCTAAGAATTCTACAGATTCATCTACATCCAATTATTACTAAATTGTCTGGTTCAGAACGAACCTATATCACAACTACAGCAAAAATAATGACACTACGGAAAGTACCGCTTTTGGTGGAATTACAAGCCCATTCAGTCTTTGGATTATAAATGCTCCTTTCAAATCCCGTAAACATTACAGGTACCCTATATTGGAAAGGAATTTTCTACGCGACTTACTTAAAATCATGTACAAATTATTGTGATTCTAATGGAAAGTGAATTATGGAATCTCATGGAATTTTACATTAAAAAGCAAAGAGGCGAAAATTATTTCTGTTGATTATACGAAAAAATATTGGTAATATAAAAATAATGATCATTTTTGATGACTTTTATGTCGCTTTACAGTTAAATAATGAGTCAAACGCATTGGGAAAATTGATGTGCATTATTTAATCGCGACTTTAATAAAGTTTTTGAAATAAAGTTAATAATTTTTTTTAGAAAGGTGCGATTATTTGAAATAGCCGGTTTAAGTCGCAGTAGTTTCTGTAATTAGCGCGTCAGTTCTTTATCTGCAAAATTTTAGGCATATTTTAAATTTCCTCGGACTATGATAGCTTAATTACTAAAACTTTAAAACCTTCATCCTATTTTATTATAAACTTTTAACGTGAGCTGTAAATACTATTTAGGTTTAAGAAGCTTATAACGAAGTATCGGATTATATTTTGGAGTTGAAATTAAAACCAACAAAAAGACAGGAAAGGAAGAATATCTATTATTGTTTAATAACATAAGCAAGACTACATTTTCATCTATTTGCGCTGTGTAGGGCTACAATGACCCGGAAATTGTTCACGAGAATTTTAGGTGCCTGGTTGTCAAACTGTCCTTGTCAGCGATATCGTCATTCTCATTATTTGATAATTTTTTCATTATTTTTTTTTATTTCCGATATTTTCTTTTTTTCTTTTTAATTAATTAGCATTTCGTGATTAGCATTAATTTACTTAGTAAAATTGAATTTTTTGAAAGTGTCTCTTCACCGAGGGCGTTGAGCGTTAGTTTAAAATCTCCAAAAAAAAAAAGAACCTAAATGGAAAATAGCGTTAGCAAAGTTCGTCAACCTCAAAAGAACCCTGAACTCGAGTTTTATATTAAGCGTCGACTGCAAAATTTCAAGGCACTAAGATCCTTTTCTTATTCACACAAAGAATAAATCCAAGGGCTTGCTAAAAATATATGTAAAAACATATCTCTTCACCAAGAACGTTGACGTGGGTTAAAATCTCCAGAAAAACTGAGTGATACATGGTCAAATGAAGTGAGTACAATCATGTGATAGAAGGCTAAAACCTAATAATACTATTATGTATGTCCACTAGTAAACCATACTCGACAACTTTTTTACCACAGTATTCCACTCCTTGGACTAAATATATTTCTCTTCTGTCCTACTATTTGTTTTACAAAAGGAACGTTTTCATTAGGAGAAAAAAGGACTTTTCTTCTCTAAATCCCGGTTACTACAAACTTGGTGTTGATAAAAAAAAAGAAAGTGGTTTGCAAATTTTTTTAAAAAAAGGTGGTGGAATTATAGTATTAACGCGTCGATTAATCGAACATTTATAGAATAAATCATGTGATTTTCAAGGCCGATATGATTAATATGTTTCTGTGCCAATTAAATTCAAGTATAAACAATAAAGTACAAGTGCTAGAAAAGAAAATTATATGAATTGATCACAAGATATAAATAGTGAATCGAGAACACCAAAATTTCATTATTGTACCAAGTAATTGATTTATTGAGTTAATTGACCAGAATTACCGTGTTAATTTAGGCCGACATTTAAAATACCTAATTTGTGTTCAAATAAATTTTCAGCCGAATTTAATCTAATGATCAACCGAAATTTAATATGAAAAGATGTTTATTGAGACCTTATTTGTAAATTTCATTTATTATTTTTTTACTTAAGCAACACAATAAATACAAATACGAGCTTTCAGGGAGAATGTAACGATTAACGATGATGTAAACATGTGCTTTTCGGTATAAAATCAACAGCATGCATCTTATCAAATGACTACAACCGATATATGCTTAAGTTGTTGCCTGTAAAATTTATTTATGAAACAGTTTCTTTCTTTGAATAAGTATGGTATTATGGCTTGGCTAATTACATTGTAAATGGTAAGATCGGTTGTTATCCAATATTTGAGGCACCTTAAATTGAAAATTTGGCAACAAGTTGAATATATATATTATTTTTTTTTTTTTAAAAAGAAAAATAAAAATAGATAGGCACCTCTGATAAGATTATCGCAAAAATGAGTTTTTCGTAAACAATTAGCTTACATAAAACAAGGCTTGGCAATGAAGTTAGCATATTCGTCTTGGATTAATATTTACCTCATTGTGCAATAAATACCCCATAAACCTAAACTCTAAACGGAACTTTTAAACATAATTTGGTAAACGTCACACGTATCTTTTTTGGATATTTTTTTTTTTTTACATTAATAATAAATGAAAATGTTGTTTCTTTTAAGTCTTTTAAGCCTTTTTTAAGAAATGATGTCACACTATATAATCTAAGAGTATAAAGGATACTGATTAAAGATAATCTTTCAATTAAATTAAAGTCGTTTCATCTAAACAAAATGTTCTCGGATCGAGAACCCGCTATTTTTCTTGTAATAGCGATTATTTAATAAAGTACAATAGAAAGTTACACCCTTTGAAAAAAACACTTTTAAGCAAAAAAAGAATGTTTTGGCTAAGTTTAGGTTACATTTAAATTTATTGAGGCTGTTGTTCATTAAGTTCTTTAATAATTGTTGGGGGGTTACGTGCTCAACTTAATAAAGTAACAACATAATCTTCAAAATTATTTGCCATTATAAATCTAGTGTAACGTCGAAATTCATTACACCCAGAAAACGCGAACTCTAAATCGCGTACCTGATTTCTATAAATATTTATTCCCGATTTTCGCTATATATGGGGTGATTATTAATGTCAACTAAAATGCGGGCGAAACTTACTTGCATATTTTTAAAACAATGGAGACCGTTTTTTTAAAAAATTTGCAATATAATTCGTTGTTTTCATTTTCTATTATAATGAGGGTATTGTGATTTACAATCCTTGTATCATACATATCACATTAATTTTTTTTTTAATAAAAAAAAAAATTTTTTTTTTCCATTATCGTAAGACCGACCGTTTCTTCAAAATAATCATGCAAATAAAAAGTACAAACAATATGCGGTGCGATATTCAACTGTTGATTAAATGAATGGAGTGGTTGAGAAGGTATTACTATTAAAATGTTTATTTTTATGGCTAGTTCATGGCGTTATCATTAACTAACATTGGCATTGGTACTAAAAATTTTTAAATTCTTTATCGATTATGTACTGTATATTATATTATCTAGATAAGTGATATGCAACCAATTAGAAAATGATTAGCAAAATAGATATTATATATATATATACTGGTATTACAGACAGATTTCTTTTTTTTTTAAAAAAAAAAAAAGTCAACAAAAACCAAATAAAGCTATTATCAACAGAAATCAAAATTTAGAATAATATATTCAACGTTTACAAATGTGAGTTTTTTTTTTAGAATAATATATTCAACGTTTACAAATGTGAGTTTTTTTTTTAGTAATTAAAAAATTTTAAAAATATTGGATTGATCTATAATACCCGGGTATACATATTCTCTTCTAATTTTAAAATACGCGTTTATCGCCTCATGAAATTCATAAATGCAAGGATTCTTATATAATTCTTACTCATAGTACATACTACACCCTCGTTGCAATTTTTTTTTACAAAAGTAAAGAATAAATTCGAATAGATCAATTGATTAAATTCTAACAATTACCACACGACTATCTACCTGCCTCTGCTCCAGACCTTTTTCACTACACACTAACGGCTTGCGATAATTTTAAAGGTCAACATGAATTATGAATCATGTAATTGACGATCGGTCGGAAAAAATTTTGACTGGGCTAAATGATACATATTTACATAATTAGATGTGATCTCGATAAGAAGAAGTACTGGGGCGTATATTAGTAAGGAAATTTTATCACGTGATGTCATTTTTTTTTAAAAAAATGCAAATTATAAAACTTGTCACTTACGGTTAAAAGGAAGCGGTTGTAATGATTAAGGTTATGTCTGAAAATGTGTTTCCATCGAAAAATTTAAAATGATTCTCGCACGTCACACAATCTTTGAGTTGTAAAGAAAATCTCGACATTTCAGCGACATTTAAATAAGATTGCCCCTACATGCGTTATTTTGAAAGTTGAAAATTTGGTGCGTTAAAGATGCATTGCACGTGATACTTTACCCGGAGATAACGCAGTGATTTACTTTCATTTGCTCAATAATTGTTCGTGATAATTTATAAATACCATGATTTCACGCACCTGCTTTCGTTGGAGTCTCCTTCTTTACCCACACCAAACTTTAATATTCTCCCAAAAGCTAAAACCCCTTTAAAAAATTTATCGAATTTCAATATTGAATGATGCCTAGTAACTCGCGATAATTTTATTATTAACGCATTCTGGCGCTTATAAAAATTGCTATTTGAAAATTAGATTTCTGTTTAACGAGAATCAAATTTCATAATAGACTCCCAATCATTTGATTGTGTAAGAGAAAACAATTAAAAAAATTCCTTGCATTACAAGTTTTTTGGCACCACAACAAATTTCTTTACTTTCCACACTAAATAATGATAAATAGATATCGCTCTTGCTACTACATTAAAGAGTCGACGACCGTTGTTGCAACTATCTTTTGGTATACTTCGCGGGCTCTCTAGTATTAATTGAATGCATATTAGTTAATAAACATTGGTTAAGTCTAACGCATACTTGGTACTCCACCGCAACAATTATTTCATGCTAATCGTGACGTTCGATTATAGTTGTTGCCCATACTTCATAATTATAGAATTCCATCCCTAACCCATACTATTTTTAAAATCCTATATCTCCCAAATCTCATTAATTTATATTATGATTTTAAGTATCTCATGATCAATTCAATATCCCACTTACATAAGTCATATTAATATTCTCATCAAGACGAAGCTAATGAGCTAAATATCGTTAAATTCTGATCATTAGTTTTAACAATATTGTTTTGTTAAAGTTTAGGCTTAAGGAATGGTATTGTGGATTTATCCCATACCCATATACGTTCTGTGCATTATCATTAATATTTATGGTTTAAGACATTAGCATACCTACCTACATTTGAAAACATGCGTTAAAGGAATAGTTATTTTAATTAAATGAATTTTAAATAATATGATTTAGGCGTAACAAATAAGCAATGATGCTCCTTTCTTCATTTAAATTATAGATTTCGTTCACAGGACGAATTTATGATTTTATTCAATTGCATCATACTTGTTCTTTATTTCAAAAGTTTTAATAGACTTAATTTTAAATAGATTCTTGTACAACCTTCCTTGTAGAACCACCACTCAAAGCGTAAGTGGTACATACTGTATAAATGGAACGCATATAATAATATTTCACGTAATGAAATAATTTCTTCCTTTTTTTTGTTTTTTAAAAAATTTTATTCTCATATTAGAGTCGTAGCATAATACAATTTGACGTGGTAACAATTCATCTTCGTCATGGCAAATAAAATTGGTTATGGTGAAATTTGTCGTGGTGCCAAATAACTTGTGATACAAGGAGTTTTTTTAATTTCTTTCCTCTTGCTACACCAATAATGAGGATTTTCTGACGCCAATTGATTCTGGATTAAATGTAGAAGAACATTCATTCAATTTAAATAGTAAATAAAATTGGTCACCTGAGAACCTGACATAATCTTTTGCAAAGTTACTTCCCTTTATTCTTAATAAAAATTTATAATTTAAGCAATGTGAAACTAAAAAAAGAAACTAGGTATTAAATTTCAATTATCTATACAATAAAATCTATCAAAATTGCCAGATTATTAATCTAACGTTAGAATTTCCCGATTATTTCACCTTTATAAATTTGTACACGCCCTTATCTAGCTTTAACAAAAGTAACGCACTTTTTACTTTACTTTTTTTTTAAAGTCTTATGAACGTATTGTATTAAAACATTTATTACAGTAACTTTGATCATTGAAAAAAAAAAAATACAAATCTTACAAAATTACAAAACATCGCCATCACTTCAAAAGTTATAAATGCAAAAAAGGAAAATTATTAAGTTTAAAAACTTCTTGTGGATTTGAAGTTTTCAATAATCTTTATCAATGTAGATATTCTCTGAACGTTCGAACCGCACGTATAACGTATTCTCCCGATTTTATTGGTGAAAAAAAACTTGAAAAACAAAAATAAGCATCACCCTCAAGTTTTAAAAATTTATATTTTATTTAAAAAAAATTTTTATTTTAATTCTCCATCTTCCCAATTAATCAGCTAAATCACTATCTTTATCTACAAATTTCCTATCATTTTCATCAATTTCCTAAAGTATGAAAGTACCATAGTGAAATTAGTTTCGCCAAATTGAACTGCAAAAATCTTTCCAATTTAGGGTTTCTGATCATAGAAAAATTCTCTGGGCGAAACGTTTCGGATGTTGAAAAATAGTTTCACCTGAAACACTAATGTACAAAAATTATCAATACGAAGCACATATAAAAAAATCCGAAGCATAAAAAGTTCCGAAATTTAAGCATCATCCTGAACTTTTTGTAAAATTTTTCCTATAAAAAAAGTGTTGCTTAAAATCGGGAGAATACGGTACTTAATATCATCTCCGTACCAAACGACATAAAGTGGCATACGTCGTGATATTTCATTGATTTGTTGGAGATAAGCAAGTACCGCGAGGTTTAATCTCATCAATGCAGTGACTCAAATGACTCAAATGACTGGTCATGTGTCATTTGGGTCATTTCAACATTAAATGACAAATGACCAGGTCATTTAGAAATTATATCATGTGATCTCAATAATTCTGGCCAAAATAATTATGTTTCATAAATATTTCACGTGATATAAATTTGTAATTCTGGCCAGCATATAAAATTTGGCCTGTATTACATTTAAATGACCAATGATAAATGACCTCAAATGACCAGGTCATTCAGAGGTCATTTCAAATCGCCAAATGACCTGGTCATTTGCCATCACTGCATCAATGTACGTGAGTAGAGCTGCGACTCGTTACCCATTTACTCGGACGACACGAGCATCCGGATCATAAATAACCATGGGTAAAAACAGGTGATGCCAAGTTTGTATCCGTTTTATATTTATAAGGGTTGACCCGAATATGTTTAATTTACCGTAAAGCGCGCTCTATAGTAAAATGACCCCTCCCTTTGGAACGTAAAGTATCCCGGGGTATTATGCATATAGGAGTTCACTTTAAAAAATATTTACACGGTAATTCTTTTCATTTTAATTAATATTAAAAATTTTTATTCCCATTTTGTTAAGGGTAGGGATATATATATTTTTGTTTTTTTAATAAAATTATTACCTTAAGAATTAACAAAATAAATTTTTAGTTCAAATTCAACGCAATTAATAACAAACTGTAAATGCATAAAAGTTTAGTGTTAATGTTATCAATATTCAAATTATAATAATAAAAGCATAAAAATTCGGGTATAAATAGGTAAACCAATTAATCTTTTTATTTTATTTGGATATGACACGGATTCTGAAATTCTGACGGGTCGCAGCTCTATTTTATTCGATTCGTCAAGTTTTTGTAATACATGTCGCATCAGGTATGTATAAATATAAATCTGTTTAAATAATCTCTCGCTCGGTTATGAACTTGCCATTTTAAATAAATACTGTTGCTACCGCGAAAAATTCCTTTAATTATTGATTATCGTGATCATGTTATGGTTAGAAAGTCGTTGAAGGTATTTAGCAAAAATTTTATTTTTAGGTCCAAAGAGTAAATCGGAGCTACGACCAATCAATAAAAGTTCGTTTTATTAATTTGGAAGTTTATTCTGAAAAAGTTATGACCTGATGAGTTCAATTGTTCAAGGATATGACATCCTTTGAATTGATAATCATGTGTCAATCAGGTTTCATTAAAGATTTGTGTGCGTCACTGAACTTTACATATTATTCGGACTAGTTGATCAACATGGGATTTTTGTTTCATATGATGATTTAGTAGCAAAATTTCAAGAGCTACGAAATTAGTGTAACAAAATAGATAAATTAATTTTCTTATTCCCATAAAGTGATTTTAAAAACTTGGCCCCCATTTGTTGAACGCTGAAAGTAAAAAATTCATCACCGAACACAAATCTTGAAATTGCGTTGTGATTAAGAAGGCGCAGCTTTACAAAACATATTAATCGTTGCGTAATGATGAAATAATCATTTAAAAAAATTATTCTGTCATTTTAAAAGAAATCTTCTAAAAATTGAATGAATAATAATGTTGTCTTTTGAATCCGAAATCAAAAATTACTAAATTAAAGTATACCTTTAAACTTGTTTTAATAATTCATTTCCTTTTAATTTAGAAAATTTGGTAAAACCTATGATCTTGCGTATATATAAAAATAATAAATACATAAAAAATATCGAAAGAGTTGTGTATTTCATTCCAATTAAACAAAGCTTTGACAACTTTCATAATTTAAAATATGTTTTAGTAATAAATTAAATTCACAGTACATCACCAATATGACTATAAGGATTGAGGAATAAAATATATTTAATATATCGCTAATACATATTATCCAAACAATATATTACCAACCATAATGAGGTAAATTAGACTATATGTAAATTTAATGCTTATTTTTTTTTAGCGAGGCTGCGCTAGAGGAATGCAGCGAACGGTGAAGTATTTTGAAAGATGTCTAAGAAGGCTCCTTCCAACCATCGGCTACATGTCGTTTACAGGAATGTGATGCTAACAATAACTACATTATTTTTCACCATGACCTTGAATAATGGAAGTAAACGGGTTCAGTAAAGTGCAATTCGATTTTATTAAACAATTGTTCAAGGATTATGTAATAATAATATCACGTATATCGTTTTTCTCGATCAGAATTTATATTGTTTTATTCTTCCGATATAAATTTGGAAACAAATATACAGTATAACAGATCTAAAATTTTAATTAGTTATATCATCACTTGCCTGATATAAATGAAACCTTTTTTGAACCCAATATGTTGTAGGTTTAAAGTTTGTAATATTTCGATTTAAGCAAAGTGGATAAATAAAACTACAATGATCCTGTTAAATCAGAGGATTGCTTTAATTTAATAAAGGTATTATGTTTTCATGCTACCCATTCAATTTATTCATGTAGTATGTAAAATAACATAAAGATTACGTTTTAACTATTTTTCTTTGGTTTCAAAATATTGCGTACATATGAGAAAGTGAGCAGTTCGATTAGCAATCTTATGAAATACCTACTATACAGAAAAATCAAAGTAATAATCTATTGGAACCACAAAAGTATGGACATGCGAAAGTAAAGATAACTTGGTTTTATTCAATCCCTTTCACCATGAGTATTCAATGGGTGGAAAGAATATCATGCATTGAGAATTTACACTTTTATGCAACAAACACATTTAAACATTAATTACATTAATTTATTTGTTAATAGTAGGAAATATAATAGTAGAGCGAAGATGTATATTAATTTAATTCAACAAATAAAATAATATATATTAACCAACATAATTATTTATTATCATTTAGACAAATTGAAGGTTCAATTTTTTAATCTCAAATTTCTCATCATTAAAAATCTTATAATGTCATTAATAAAATAACATTCATTCAATTGTAACGATAATCATTGATAACGAAATATAATTTGAACAATAAATAAAAAAAATTATAATCCTTCCCAATATTTTAATCTCCAATAGTATCTCCACATGAATACTTTTTATCCAACAATCCAATGTCTCAAAGTATAAAGAAACAGGTAAAAGATATTTGGCAAACAAGGTACACATAAAATTTCATTAAGGTCTCTTCATCATCTCACAACCAATTATTCTCCATAGATTATCCCAGTCGAATCAGGTTCACTCTTATTACATATATTCCAAAGAGATAGACACATAAAAAAATTTAAACGAAAATAATAATACAAAGATAAAGCAAACCCGTCACAGAAAATTTCGTCAATCATCTTTGATATTTCTTTTAGCCATTGATTATTCCAGTCATATTCAGTACAGATAAATTTATTATACAATATTACACATAGTTAGAAAATTTTCTCTATCACATGATCCATTGAGTTATCCAGTCCAGTCAATGCAATTTAGACGCGTTAGTAATGTATATAAAATTAAAAAACCCCCCAAGGAATAACAGCAAACCCAATCCACTGAAAATTTTATCTTCATCTTTGATATCATTCAAGTTCCATTTATTAGCATTGGTTATTCCGGTCAAATTCACTTTTATCAAAACACACATATTATATATTAACCATTGATATTCCAGTCAAACACAGTACAAAATTTACTATACCATATCACTCCCGTTATTACACGCATTAGTTATTAATATAATATTTTCATTAACACACCCTCCAATGAGTTTTCCAGTCCAGTAAATACAATTCGCGCGTTAGTAAAGCATTTATAAATAATTTTGAAACAAAAAAAAGACAGCAAACCTAGTCAGTCCACAGAATATTTCGTTAATCATCTTCGATATCTCTCCATTATTTCACAAAGAATTTTTCTATTATACAATTGCATATATACCATATCTTATTAACGACATTAGCTACTACTTCTTACACAAACAATAGTACAATTAAACCTATTTCACAACAAATTTACGCCAATTATCAATGACACTCTCATATTTTTACGTTATTACATGATCTAAAGAGCCAATCAATGTAAGTAAAATAAGAAATAAAAATTAAATCAATAAACAAACCATGTTCACGAAATTTTTATGTTCATTATACATACACATATCCCCAATAAATTCTATTATTTCGATCCAAAAGTTCTAGTCCAATTGAACGCATAAGTAAAAGTGATGCATAAAACAAATGAAATAAGAAAAAGCAAAAGCGGTTCTTAATAAATATGACTCATCCTCTAAATCATTTCAAGGTTCCATTCAAATTTAATTACTTTCAATATTTTATCTCTTCAATAGATTAGAGCCACATATTATTTAATGCTCGTTAAAATGAAGCGAATTAATAGAATACTATATGGAAAACCTAACCCAATCCCAAAAAATTTCGTTATAAAGTATATCTATTATTATACAATTTTCGTCACATTTTCTTCATTTAACAAAAACATTTGCGTAAAAAGATAATAAGAAAAAAAGTAAATTGGTTAAATGACACATCTATGCTTATGATCTAAGGAAGTAAGAAAAACCGTTTACTCGATCGCAGCTATTCTCGTATCAACATCAGATAAATCAACCAAAATAGTAATTTTATTAACATCATTATTACAATTCTCCCATATAAATTTATTCAATAATTGTGCTTAATTAAAATTAACTAATAATTGAAAGTGAAGAAGATCGTGTTGTATTAAGTTCTTTCTTTTATGTGATAACAATTTTAAAATGTAAGCAGTATGTTTTTATTGAGTAAAAATGAAGTAATGTTGACGCTAAATTTATTTAATTATATCAAATTAATCATTGTTGCCTCAACGTCGACGCTCTACACGTTCGCAATGTCAATATATTCAACTAAATAAATGCCAAAATCGGAAATTAAAAAATAAACGAAATTACAAATATATAATTATAATGTTAAAATGGCGAAGGGAAAATATCACGCGGGGGATAAAGGAAGGTTTTTTAAGGTGTATATATGCAAATATAATTAAGGTGCGAATTTCGTTAAGTTTAAATTATAATAAAAGTATAACTAAATATTAATAATCAATAAAAATAATTTACCATCTATAATATTATGAACTTTACTAACTTGCACCCGGGTGACAAATAGAATTTTTAGCAATAAAAATTTTTCTTAAATTAAATACTTAACTGATGATCAATTTATCTAAATTAGGGTCGCATGCAACTTTAACCGACAATCATTTATTTGTATGGGACTATCATTTTTAGCACGAGGCTTAGCTAAAAAATCATATGTCAATCGTTTTTTGTTTAAAAGAAAAAAAAGCCTCATCTAGACCTGTATATTTATTTACTTTATAATATTATGTTGATCATAAAAAAGTGTTAATATTTAAAACAAATGTACTACATGAATCTTCTATTAAGAACATTTTCTTTAAATATGAAATCATTATATGTAGAATTAAGCATTGAAATATTCAAATGTATACCAAGTCCCATCAACCTTTTAGTTACAAGTCGTAAATGGCATAATATTTCTCAAGACCCTCATGCCCGAGCCGAATGGTTAATTTTTAAATATGGTAGAGCACATGCTTTATTTCACTCTGTGAGGCTCGGCAATAGCTTCATTACGGTAGAAGTTATACAGGCTTTGCTTTCAAAAAATGTTATCCTTTCAAGATATTTTTTTCAACGTTTATTCATGCATTTCGGTAATTATGATGAGAATCTTATTAAACTTAAAGTTGAACATAATGTAAATCAAGTTGACTTTAATAGACTTCGAGCTCTTAAAAAGAATTTATCTTCACCTTGGGGAAGTAATATACCTTTATCAAGTTTTATTAAACTAATCACTGAAGGATATAACATTTTGAATGACCATGAACTTGCAGTTAAAGGGAATGATATGGAATTATTTCATTTCCTATCAGCTGGTCCCCTGGTTATTAATGTAGCTCCCCAAAAACTTCGTCAAAATCTGGAATCTATTAAAGATTTAATTTTAAAAAAAAAGTTTATCCCTTTTCCTCCGAATCCAAAACCTAAATATGAAGATACAGTAGAATACGTTCAATTGATGCAAGTTAGAGCTCTTGAAGAATATCCACCAAAGGATGGTTATGAAAATAGTCGTCAACTTAATGTAGTGGCTAGAGCAATATTAATTCATCCCGATTTAGTAATTTTGTGGAAAGAAATCGGATATTACGAAATTTGTGATGATGTCAATGAACTTGTAATACAAGGCGCCCTCTTGATTTTTTTTCCTCCTTCTCCACCGAATACTTGGGAGTGTCCTGATGTAGACATTATTGTTGCTCGTTTAAAACATCTTATTGATCTGGGATTTCAATTAACCGATAGTGTTATAGAAGAGGTATTTCATTTATTTGAACATAAATTAAACGAGATTGGTGACCTTTTAATGAATTCATTTCAAGTAATTCGTAAAGAGTCAAAATCGGATATTGCATCATCTTGCCTCATTTATGCAATTAAACCTGAAAGAAATTTTAAGAAAACTGATTTGTTGGAATTTTTAATTAACAAAATCGACCAACCTAGCATAGCTTTAAAACATGCATTAGATCATTATAAAGTCGGATTCAAGCTTAATTATAAGACAATTAGAACAACTACGAAAATCAGATCCCTAAGCGTTCATTCAAATTTCTATTATTGGATACTTAAAAATTGTGATCCAAATTCTGAGATTTCACGAAAATGTTTTGATGATATTTTTGAATCCCGAATTTGGATTGAACTAAAACTGCAGGAAACTCCTGAAAGGAATATTCCAAAAAATCTTACTACTACTTCTTTTAATTCTATTTGTTATATATATCTTGAATTTTGTAATGGAAAAGTTCCATTCAATCAAGATTGTATGCAATATTTACAATTGGTTAATAATAATGAAATAATTAATCCAATTTTTGGAATTTCCTTACCTATTATTTTTGGTTTAGAAATAAAGGAAACATTACCTTTAAAAAATATTTATGAATTTAATTTACCAGAAATTAAATTCAATAACAGTATTCAAAATAATAATAATAAGAGAAATTTTGATAAATTAAATAATCATCAATTTATTGAAAGAAATAAATGGTATGAAATACTTGAAAACATTTATAATCAGATTTATATAAATAATTCTGATATAAAGGCAAATTTTAAAAAGAAATTTGAGGAACTTTGGAATAGAATTATTTTATTAAATATTTCATTCATTAAAAATACTAATCAGTATACTATGTATTCAAAAAAACTTAAACAATAAGTAAGAAAATATTATGTAAGTAATAATATTAAAATTTTTTATTAATATATAATATTATAATAAATAATTATGATATTTAATATTTATTTATCAAATTATTATATATTTTAATTATTATTAATAATTTTATTTTTTTTATATATATAGGTAAATCATATTGGCAAAAATCTGATTTAAATTAATAAGTATTTAATATTTTATAAATTATAATATATTATTATTAATATATTTTTACTATTTATAATCGATATATTTTATTAATAAAAATTTTATTAAATTTAAATATTATAATTAAGCATACATTTACTTTTATATAGTTAAGTTTTAATTTATATGATTAAGATTATTATTAAATATTAAGGTTTTTATTTTATGTAATTAAATTATATTAAGATTATATATTTTTATATTATTAAAATTGGCAAAATAAAATTTTTAAATTTTTAAGAAATAAATTAAATTATAAAAATAATAATATATTTTAATTTTTAATAATTTTAATTTAAAATTAATTTTCATTTTTTTTTTAATTAATAAATTTATAAATAATAATTAATTTACTATTCATTAAACTATAAGAACAAATCAAAAGGTTCAAATTGCTATTCAAAATTTATTAATTCTTATTTTTTTGCAAGTTATTAACTCTCAAGATGAAACTTTACTTCTAGGAATAGACTGGTTTAGAAAAATTCATGTCAGCCTTGATTTTGGAACTAACCAAATTAGATTAAAATATTTAGTGAAATTAATCACAGTTTCTATAACCTCTAGTGTCAATGAAACTTTTATTAGTTATCCTGCTATTCAAGACCAACAAGACAATGAATTAGAACAAGTTTTAGATTATTATGAGAAAGAAAAACTTAGTGAAATTGAAGCTTATATGGCAGATAGTCAAGAAGAATATGAAAATAAAACTGATCTTTTACCTTTGACTATAATCCATAGAATGAAGAAAATTCTGTCTATTTAATTCTTGTATTCAAAGAAGAATTTGAACCTAATCTAGTGGTATTTCTTGCTAAGATTTCTAAAGAAAATATTTGGAAAATCAAAGATGATCTTCAATTAAACCCTTTGATAACCAGCAACAAACATCTTTTCAAAAATTGATTAATGATTATAAGAATATATGCACTCTAAGCTAAACAAAAATTGGATGAACTAGTTTGATAAAACATAAAATTCTGACTAATAATCACGACTAGTCACTACTGAATCTTATAAGTATAAAGATCTAGTAAACTTAATTTCCTCAAAAATGAAATTAAACATATAGAAGAAAATGGAATTATCAATAAGTCATTAAGCCTTTGGGCTTCTTCTATAGTTATAGTAATAAAAAAAACTGGAGATAAATGTATTTATATTGATTATAAAAAGTTAAACTCTATTTCTAAAGTAACGCATGCATATCCTTTATCAAAAATTGATGATTTATTAGAAAAGTTTAGAGAAGCAAATTAGTTCTCTAATCTTAATCTTACTAGTAGCTATTAGCAAGTAGAAATAAGCGAAAAAGATAAGAAAAATATTTCTTTTATCTCTAAGTTTGGTCTTTATAAATTCAATGTTATACCATTTGGTCTAAATAATATATCAGCAACCTTTCAAAAGCTAATAAATTATATCCTTCAAGAATTCTTATATGAATTTGTCACTATCTATCTAAATAATATTATTATTTACTCAACAACTTATGAGAATCATATCCAACATTTAAAAAAAGTATTTCAAGCGATCAAGCAAGCAAACTTAATGATCAAACTTAAAAAGTGTCACTTTTGTTTACCTAATATAATATACTTAAGACATGTGGTTGAAAGAAATGAACTGCAACCTGATCCTGCAAAAATTGATAAAATTAAAAGCTTTTCCACTTTAGTTGATCTAATAAGCCTAAGATTTGCATTAGAATTATTCTCATTTTATCAACAATTTATTTCAAAATTCTCAAAAATTACAAATCTTTAACTCAATTGTTGAAAAAGGAAGAACTATTCTCTTAGACAAATACTCAACAAAAAACTTTCGTGCTTTTGGAAATGGTTTAGAAGCTACTCTTTCTCAAAAATTAGAAATAGATTTGATTATGTAATAACATATACCAACAGAAGTATGAATAAAGTTAAGTAAAACTATAGAATAACTGATCAGGAATGCCTTGCAGTTGTATGGGCTGTAAGATACTTTCATCATTATTTAAACTACCAATCTTTTACTATTATTACCGATCATTCAGCCCTTAAATGACTATAAACATCAAAAATTCCTAAAGGAAGAAGAGCACAATAGATCATGAAACTCTAACAATATGATTTTAAAATTAAACATAGGCCTGAAAAATTAAATACTAATGCAGATACCCTTTCTCAGATCAATACTGATCAAAAGTATGAAGATAGTACACGTAAAGTCTTTATGGTAACTACTATTAAAATTAAAGAATCAGAGGATAAATGGCATATTTCTTCTGAATATAACTTTGTTAAAGATAATGAAGAAACATGATTTGAGAATAAATTATCTCAACAATTTTTCAATATACCTTAATTACTACAGTTAGATATGAAAGCTCAAAGGATGAAATAAAAGATATATACTGTGAAATATTAAAATTAAATCAGTTATAACCAACCAACCTATCACCAAAGAAGAATCTTAATGTATTTTTGCCTGCAATATTGTGAATTATCATATTCATACCTATTGTAAAGTGTGCAAAAAAATTTACTTTATAATACAATTATTCATAATTATAAGATATGAAAGAGGAAAAATTCATCTGAACATGAAACTAACTTATCTAGTTAATAACATATAATAGGAAAAATCAGTTTTAGTTTAACAAGAAAATGCATATTCTCAACTTTATGAAATATTTGATATCATTCCCCTATTCTCTTATTAATCCCTTATCTATTTCAAAATTTATTAAAATATATTTATTTGAGTAAAAGCCAAAGTGTTTGTAGTATGAAAAATAGCTCAACATAGATATAACACAATATAATCATCTTTTTAATTATTTACAAAACTAAACTTTACCAGACAATTTAACTCTAACTTAACAACAAAAATTAGTTAAACAATCTAGATATTTTGAAATTAAAAATAATTATTTGTATAAACATATTCGTCAAAAGCTTCTTAGAGTTATTCAATCGCACAAAATGAAAGCTGTACTTTATATAATATATGATGATCTAACTGCAGGATACTTTGTAGTGAATATAATGTTTGATAAAATCAAAGAATGATACTATTAATCACAATTATATAAAAATATTAGAGAATATGTTCGTTCTTACAATAGCTGCCAAAGAAGAGGAAAACCAAAGAAACATAAAGAGTTACATTCTATATTAGTTTAGGCATCTTTTTATTAAATCAATATAGACTTTATTAGATTTTTACCTATAATGTTAAATAGAAATAAACATATCATTGTAGTTGTTGATTATTTTACTAAGTGGTCTGAAGCTAAAGCTGTTCCTGAAACTACTGCAGAATAGGTTGCCCTATTTATTTATGAATACATAATCTGTTATCACAGATGCCCTATAAAGATCTTTTCTGATAGAAGAACCCATTTTAATAATCAGATGATCAAAGAATCAATGGATAAGTTTAAAATTAAACATTTACTATAAACGTCTTATCATTTCTAAACAAATAATTTAGTGAAATATTTAACTGTACCTTGTGTGATTCTTTTGCAAAACTGTATAAAATTTAGATAATTAGAATCTGTAGATTGTATCAACCTTGTTTGCATATTACACAAGCAAACACTTTGTCACAAAATATCTTCTTTTTATCTAATATATGGGAAAAATGCAATATTACTTCTAGATGATCTTAATAATCAAAATATCACATTATCTAAACATTTGCAAAATTTAGTTAATCAATTACCACAAACTAGAAAGATTGTAAGAAATCATATTGCAATTGTACAATATAGCCAAAAGAATTATTATGATAAACAAATTGATCATTTTTATCAATTTGAAATTAGAAATAAAGTTTTTTACTATGATGCAGCTAAAGATAAGTAATATTCTGACAAATTAAACTCAAAATAAAAAGGACCTTATTAAATCCATCAAGTTTTAATGAATAGATCTTATAAGATAAGAGAAATAGATGAAAAAGTGTTATGTATACCTGCAAATGGAAATCTATTAAAGCATTATCATAATCACTAAAATTGGAAGTCTCAAATTATTATATAAAGAATTGAATTTTTTTGAAAAAATTTCTAAAATTTTCTAATATGATGACTTTATTTCAAAAGTTAAGAATGATTTAATGGCTGTTAATATCTTAGCAGATACCAACATTTTCCACCATATATAGAAACTAATTCAACTATACAAAAGTTAAAACAACTTAGAGCTTTATTATGAGCTACCAGGTAAAAAATATAGTATTAGCTTTAGCTAATGCATTTTATCTTGGACAAGTAATAGAGATAGAAACCTTAAGTTCAACTGATTAAACTCAATATTAAAACCAAATGATCTTATATTATCGGCAAGCCTCAAAAAGGACTTATTATCTTTTTAAAACTCTAAAAATTGTATAAATTAGACATACTAGAAAGATAACTCTTAGGACAATTTATAATCTCAAATCTCAGAAGTTTAAGAACTTGATTGACAAAACCTATGAAATTTTTGCAGAGGTTATAAATTTAGAGAAGGAAATTGATACATATGAAGTTAATCATACTGCACCATAAAGATTGATAAATGATCAACAATATTAATATCATTAGCATTGTTAACTTAATTAACATTTTATTTTATTTATTTTATTTTTATATTTTATTATTATTATTTATTATATTATTATCATTGTTAAATTATAAATTATCTTTTATATTTATTTTAGTATTATAAAATAGTTTAGCGTTAGATAGTAATTTCTTATAATTGTATTTTTGTATAAATAAAATAGAAATTTGTCCTTGCAAAAGGGCAGAGATAACAGTGATAACTCAATAGTTTGAGTTTAAGGCTTAGAATCTAAGGTTAAGAATTGCTAAGAATACAAATCTCTACAATAAAGGAATCTCTTTCTAAAATTATATATATTTAAAAATCCTTTAATATGTCAATTGTATTTATTGTGTTTATAAATTGTTAAAATTATTTTACCTGTCTAAAGTATA